ACATAATCATGCTGTGTCTTGGTGTAATTTTCTTCATATTTCTTGTACTTGGTATGCATTAAGGCTCTTGGATATGTGGATTTATGCTTTCACTTAATTTGGAAAATTTTCACCTACGATTTCTCAAAACAGTTTTCTGCCCTTTTTCCCTTTGCTGTACAGACTGTATTCATGTATATCAAGACACTTAAAGTTGTTCCATATCTCACTGATGCTTTGTTGATTATTTTTCACTTCTATTTTTCTCTTTGTGTTTTATGTTGAATTTTCTATATTGCTATGACTTCACGTAGATGAACTTTTTTCTTCTGCAGTATATAATTTGCCATTAATCCCATTCAGTATATATTTTAATCTCAGAAATTGTAGTCTTTGTCTCTAGTAGTTCTATTTGTTTCATTTACATATATATATCTTCTCAGTCTCAACTTTTAATATATGGAATATGGTTATAGTGACTGTTCTAGTGACCTTGTCTATTAACTCCATCCTCTGTCATTTCTGGATAGGTTTACACATATTTTTCTCTCTAATATGGGTCATAATTTTCTGTTTCTTTGCATGTCTAGTAATTTTTTCATTTAAAACTGGACATTGTGATCTTATCTTGCTGAATGCTGTGTATTTTTTAACCTTTTTATTTATTTATTTATTTTTTGAGACAGGGTTTTGCTCTTATTGCCCAGGCTGGAGTGTGACAGTGCCATCTCGGCTCACTGCAACCTCCGCCTCCCGGGTTCAAGTGATTCTCCTGCCTCAGCCTCCCTATTAGCTGGGATTACAGCCATATGCCATCACACCCTGCTAATTTTTGTATTTTTAGTAGAGACGGGGTTTCACCCTATTGACTAGGCTGGTCTTGAACTCCTGACCTCAGGTCATCCACCCACCTAGGCCTCCCAAAGTGCTGAGATTACAGGCATGAGTCACCATGCCCTGCCTGTATTTTTTAAAATCTTAAAAATACTTTTAGCTTTGTTCTGAAACAGTTAAATTACTTGGAAACTGTTTGTTCCTTTCAATTCTTACTGGTAATATTTTTTAGGTAAGTCCGGCCCCATTACTGGGGATCTTTCTGTGTTTTTGTGTAACATTCCATGAATCCTGAATTTTGCTATTCTGGCTAATGGGAATATGTCCTATTGCTGAGCACATGTGAATGTCAACCACTGTTACCTCTACTTCTTTCAGTTTGTTCTTTCTTTGGCCTCAGATAATTTCATTGTATGAGTGAGATGATCAGTATTCTGATGAATACTCAAGGAGGACCCTCCCTCTGCAGATCTCTGGAGTTTCTCTCTCTCTCTCTCCCCCCCACCCTCCGTGTGTATGTGTGTGTGTGTGTGTGTGTGTGTGTGTGTGTGTGTGTGAATCTCTCTCCTTATTCCTTATCCCATGAATTATAGCCACCTTCATCTTGGATGCTGAGCTCCACCTCTTCAATTTAGGAAGTCTACTTGGGTTCCCCCACTGTAACCCATGGCCTAAAATCGCTCTCAAATCAGTAAGGCAGACAATTGTAGGCTTCACCAAGTTTGTTCCTCATCTCTTAAGGATCCCTGTTTTTTATTGCCTGATTCCAGTGTCTTTAAAACAAAAACAAAAACCAAACCCTTGTTTCATATTTTGGGTGTTTTGGGGATTGTTCAGGTGGGATGGTAAAACTCATCTATCTTGGCCAGAAGCAGAAGTCTTCCTAAAGTTTTTTAGTCCTCATTATTTCCAATGCCTTGGTGCCAGGGCAGGGTATATATTCACTACAAGAGCAGGTCAAAATTATTCAAGAAGATTTTGTTTACTATGTGGCATGTGGGCTTTCAGTGTAGGGTTATCTGGTGTGTCTCTTGTGATATGAATATTTGTATTAAGATGGCCTAATCTTTTGTCTCAGTTGTGTCTCAGTTTTCTCTCAATTGGAATTTCAGTTAACATGTGTTTCTCTTTAATTCTAGCAGGATGGGGTTTTACTTTTCCTATCACAAGTGAGGAAAGTGGAAAATGGTTTTAAAGTCTTGGAATTCACAGAAAGAAGTCCTGTGAACACCATGTGAAATTAAGCCATTCTTGTTGAGGGAAGGGAGTATAATAACAGGGAGGGAGAGGAGACAATATTCCTTTTAAATACTGTGTGGCAAACTTTCATTTTCCATGACTACTATGAGTCAGAAAACTGTAGTTTAAGAAGAAATCTTTCCAATCATTCCATCCCATTCCCCTACAAGACCTTTTATTAAGACTTTAAAAGCTGGGAAAGATGATTAAAATAACTTCTCCAAGGGAGAGAAGTAAATGAACAGAGATGTAGTTGAAGACTAATAGGGATTGATCTATACTACATCTAAGATTCCTTGCAATTCCAAACCCAATTCCAGAATACCCACTCTATACAGAGTCAACTATCAGTTTCTAAAGTGTTATGGAGTCAAACTAGACCGTTTAAAGACTAAATGTTGACCGAGTGTCATTGTCACACATCCACAAAAAGACATGGTAGTCTTTCAAAACATTTTTTTCAAGTATCTATATCACACATGAGTTTTATCTACTGTAATTAAAGTAATATATTTAGCTATAATTCTAAGGACTAAGCACCACCACCAATATCTCCTGTGTTCTTGGAATGAACATAATCTTAATATAAAGAGGGGAAAAACAGAATGAAAACAAGGTTAGAAAGATAGTCCCTAGCTGCTTGTGAGAAAGTTAAAACAACTATAACAAAAGTCTGAGCATGGATATATTTTAAACGGCCTACATACTTTTAATTCCCTGAAAATAATGCAGAAAATCTAAAAATGTTGAAAACCTTCTTGGGGATTGCAAGTGTGGAAATACAGAATGAATTGCAAACTTTACATTTTTTTCTGTAGATATTTAAGAATCTGTTTCCATTTCAATATTTCCTTGCTCTTTTTGTTATTGAAATGCTAATTCAGATGATTGCCAGTGAAATAGAAGATCCTATAATGGATATTCTGAGATTGAAAAGTGAAGGAGGGTATTGCTTCTAGTTCAATTCTATGGACCCAAACATTCAACATTAAGTAAAATCAATGGTCTCCTCCTAAATTCTCAGGACTTTATTTTAAATAAGCTTTCCCCATTTACATAGCATGGCACTGATGTTGCTGACAAATTCCAATGTAGCATGCAACAGTGGTTCCTAATTGCTTTAGCATTTATCATGCACAAGAGACAGGAGGGAAGTTGTCTCATTTTGTACAGCTCAGTTGCATTTCTTATCTCTGAAGTACATTTAAGCAGCAAACTGGGATTTAAGGTAGCTGCCTGAAAACCAGCATCCATTAACATGCATATCTTGGGGGGAAAATGAATTGGGTGTTCTAAAGCAGAGTACAGTTCCATCTCATTCTGTGCATTAATTTTACATAATTTCTCTTTTGCACATTTATAAATTAAGGACCATAATCCTCCTTACCCATACAAATTCTCATGCTCACGTTTTCCAGGTTGTGCCTTTTGTCTGCTTTGTTTTCAAAACATTCATTTTATTTTTCCTTTTTTGCCCACACTATGCAGATGTAAGTTTTCAAAAATTATGAAAAAGCATTTTGGTGTACTTCCAAGATACCCTTTGGGCTCAATTAGCACCTGGTAATATTCTTCCAAGCAGTCATGGGAGGTGCTTAACTACTGTGCACTTAGGCATCTTTTACCTGACAAGTCTTCTGAACAGGTTCTATGTTACAAAGAAATAGTACCCCTTCACATTCTACAGCAAACATTTGGTTACCATATATGAGTCTAGGAGAGTGGGGGAGCTCAAGTTCTGCTTATGCACTCTTGAATGTAATCCTTCCTGCCAGTGAGTTCTGATGATTTGTCTAAGCAGCCACAGACTATGGCTACTGTTCCAGGAATTCAAATCCCATTAAGATGTAAACCCCCAAAGGGGTACACAAAATCAGATGGACTGAGAAGCACAGGTGTGCCTATTTGTCTTTGAGGGGCTGTTTGGATGAATAAAGTATATTTGGACTATGCCCTGACAAATATAGATTGCCCCCTTGAAGTGAGGATTAAAGTTTATGTATATATACATATGTATATATAGGTATGTAAATATACACTGATCCTAAAATGGTCGCTGCTGTAGATAGTTTCTAACAGTTTCTAATAATAAAGGCAGTCTAATTACACCTTCCTATTGTGACATAGATATTGTTCTACAAAATACCCCCTAGGTGCATCAAGTGAAGTCAAGCTTTACAATCAACTTAATTGTCTGTATATAGACAATCCATGTACCTTGTAGATTTTGCACACCATTTGTGACTTGCTTTCCTATCCTGTGGCCCATGTGATCCCACAGATGCCGTCTTTGGACAGGCACTGGTCTCTAAGTCTTACTCTTACTGCCCTTCTGCATGGCAAGGGTGATTTGGTAGAAAGAATCAGGGGTAGGGGCCAATTATTTTTCTAGAGTTCTTTTAAACTTTTGGTTTCCAATAAGGCAGGCATTATGATTTGCTAATAAATTATAGATATTCAATCCATCTTTTCTTCTATATTCCATCAGTGCAAGCATACTTTCTTGTCTGTGACGAGTTTATTTTCCATGTACTCACAGTTGCCTTCCGAGTGGTTAAAAATAAGAAAATGAAAAGGGAGTCATTTAAAGGGCAAGAGTAAGTGTCAAGGGAAGGAGACAGAAAAAAAAAAACAGTAAATGATCACCTCAACCTCCTTGAGTAGTTGCTTCAATAAAGGATTCACTCATTATCCAAGGTCTGCATGAAAATTTAGGTAAGTCATTTTATAAATTTCTCTACACTAGTATCACCTCCACATTTGAAAAATCAAGAGTTGACTTTACTGACTCTATTGAAAAGCCTCATGTTTCTAGGCAAAGTACCTTTAACCCAAACCCTAAAATACCCCATTTGTTTCATTCTGAAAAATGCAGTCAATCCTACTACAAAGCAGGAAAATATATTTATAATAGAGACAATAGTAATAAAAATGAATCTCCACAGGAATAATTTACATGAACACATTTATTGTGAGTAGCTCTATGGAAAGGCAAGTCAGATATATATAGATATACATATATATATAAACACTATACAGAGTTGCAAAGTCATCTCCCAAAACCGCAAACGAGATGTTTACAAAGAAAAGAAAGTACAAGAGTATTTACAAAGGAAGACAAAGCCAAAGCAACTCAAAACATATCTGTGAAGCAGAAATAGCAGATGTAATTAGCTGGTGGAACTGTAAAGTTTCAGGTTTTAATGACCAAATGACTATGCCTGATACCAAATTAAATGTAGCGGTCACAAAAAAAAAAAAAAAAAAAAAGAAAGAAAGAAAAGAAAATTCCATCATCGTTTTTTCTTAACAGCAGCATGAACTGATAACTGGAAGGTAAGTGATATGTTGGTAAACATATTCCTTAAAGATTCTTCCAGCATAATACTGAATAAATTAATTGTCTGTAAACTAATAAATAATGACAAAAAGATTGCATTTGTTATGCAGTACCTGTGACTATGTGTACCTGTTACTATTTGTATAACACATACTACTGTGTATGAGGTTTTTCATTCATTTATTCAGCAACTGTTACATCTGTGCTGTACCCTCTTTACCCTGTCTGCTCGCAGCTTCTGAACCTAATATGCAAATAAAGTGATATAGCATTTTCCCCCAAGTAATCTTTTTTCCCACAATTCTGAACAATTATTACTTAACTTACTTGAAAATAAAATGGTGACAGAAGGCTTGAAAAAAGGCTGCCTAAAGAGCACGTTGTTATCATAATGAACAAAAGCCACACTGCGTTATTTGATTAGGTTGGAAAAAGAGAAGAGTCTGAAGGAACTGAAGAAGTTGATGCCCTAGCAGTGACCAGTAACTGGAACAATGACAGATCTCGTAGTCACATCCTCTCCTCAGCACAATTTACAAGGGGAAAAAAGAGCCCACCATCCCTTTGGTTGGTAGGCAAGGAAAAACAGAAGTCAGCTCTGTTCTTTGGAAAAGTTAGTTTAGCAACATGTACTATATAAGCTTGCTTGAAGATAGAAGTACACATTCAAAGACATCAGAACCAAGTAGTGAAAAACTTTAGATAAATATTACACTACTTCAAAGTTGCACATTAAATGCGAAGCAAATTTCATTTTAACAGTTTACACACAACAGGTACATCTACAATCACATGTACACAGGTACACAAAGGTGTACATACACACGAATACACACACACACTAGTGCTCACACACACACACACTCAAACACTCACACCCATCTGTGATATGATGAGGTTTGCCAATGATGGTACAGCAAGCCAAGATTTGTGTGCCACCACGAAACAAAGCTCTAAGCAAGCTTCAAGACCTTTGTACCTATTCTTGTGGTCACCACCTTGTTAGTGTCATGTTCTCAAAGGTCCAGGTTCCTAAAATCTTAATTCAGTTTACATCAGAGGCAAGCAAAAATAGAACGGGGAGGAGCTTGCTCTGATTTTTTTTTTTAATTTGGTACATCTTATATTGGCTCAATATCCAGAAGGAAACAAGGCCTTATAAGAGGTTCCTTTTGGCTTAAGTTTTCATCAGAATATTGATTGATAAGTAAACACTAATTTCTTGAATATGGGAAACTGATCTCTTTATAGTAGCCATGGGCATAGGAGGGAGAGTGTGCATTAGGGAAAATGGAGAAATAATAAGAAAAAGTAGAATAGAGGTTGAAAGTGGGGAGAGGCCCAGAGAAGTAGGGAGGGGCCTTGGGAAGAGACTTTTGAAGAGCCTTGCTTCTTTTAGGAGGTAAATGTAGGTTTCACAATAAATGAAAAATAGTAGGTTTGGAAATACTCAGTCGATTTTCAGGCAGAATATCATAGTGTTGTATGTGAACAAATAGCTGTTTCTCAGTTCTGCCTTTAAAATGTTGGAAATGCTCAATCAGGATATCAGTTTCACTGATATTTAATATGAGCAGAATATTGCAGTTTTGCTAATGAGCAAAACTTTAAATAATCCGCCCTTTAGTCCTGCCTGTAAAATATTGGTAATGTCTCATCAAGATATCAGTTCAGTTGACATTTAATTCATTGATCAAGAAATGTTTTGTGTGTGTAATACTCGGAAAAAAGATTCCAGATCATACCTACCTTCCCATTATGACAGCTTTTTTTTCTTTATGTGCTGGTTTAAAGGTTTTTCAACTTCAAAATTGAATCTAAATATTTTACATTATTAAAATTAGCATTGACCAAATTTATACATATTCTAAGTAACTTTTTTTAAAGAGGGAAAGAATTATGAGATGCTCACTCATATAGTATCTGTTCCCTTTCAAAGGGACATATTGGGGAGGAATACCAGAAAACAAAAACAAAGCACAATGTAAATATTGTTAATTAGAAATCACTGGATCCATAAGCAGCAGTACGAATGATCTGCATTAATAGGATCATTCAATTGCCAGAGTCCACTTGTAGGCTTGTAGAAATTTGGGTTGCTTTCTACTCAGAAGCCTCTGAGTTTTCTTTCCTTTAGGCAGATCTGGAGTAGATGAAGATAAAATTCCATAAGCATCACTTTTCTTCTAAAATGTGTTTTTGCGGCAATATAATCACTCTAGGAAAAAGATGATAAAACAAAAGTTACTTGCAGAATTAATGTGGAGAGCTGTCACCCCCACCCTGTTTTAAAACAAAACAACACAAAACAAAACAAAATCTAACTAGAAGTTTTTGAGAGATATATAGAGGAGACTGCCTGGGCATGGATATGGTTAATCAACTCTGCTGGCTGCCTGTGAGGAATATCAGCTGGGCAAAGACACAAGGGCAGTTATTCCTCTTGCCCCCAGGCTGCCACTCTGACATTTCTGGTGGACAGCATCTTTGCACGTGCGTGCACTGTTCTACTTTCTTCCAGTGGAGCCCACAAGTGAGCCAGGCATTGTGCAGAGAAACAGATTTTTTTCTTCTTCTTCTACATGTTTGACTATGCCTTCACCAGATTATATGGCACAAGTCATAGGATTTAAGTATAGCCTTGGAGATGGTCTCTAGACTCAATCATTGAATTTCTTCTCATAGAACAAAGTCATATCTGCAAAGGAGACTTGAAATTCCCATCTGTTTAATAAAAGAAAAAAGTTCCAGCATTATTCTCTTGGCTTTCTGCTTTTGAGTGGGTGCATAATGGGGAGTATGGCAGGGGTTGTGGATCAGATACACAGAAGAAGGTGCTGGACCAGGGAAGGGACAGGAATAAATGATCAGCAAATTGATTATAGGATGCCAGTGTTACCTTAAGATCAGGTCCCCACAAAGTACCAAGTATTCTTTTTTATTTGAGACATCCTAAAAGAATCCATGGAAAACATCCTCCAGAGTGGGCTTCAAGTACAAGATTGAGTATTAAACTGGAAATATACATTTTAAGTATTCATTTTCTTATCAAAGGTTTTACAATTTTTTTAAAGAGATGAGGTCTCACTATGGTACCCAGGGTGAAGAGCAGTGGCATGATTATGGCTCACTGCAGCCCCACCCAGACTCCTGGGCTCCAGGATTTTAAAAACGTAACAAAGTTGCAGCTGGATAAAGCACTGAGTGGGAAGAGTACATTTCCCTCTTACTACTTGTGTCTCTTCATTAAGATTCAATGTATAGGTTTGTTCTTGCAGATTAGAAGGTTAAAAAAAATGCCAGCCATGGTGGCTCATGCCTATAATCCCAGCACTTTGGGAGGCCAAGGCAGGTGGATCCCTTGAAGCTAGGAATTCAAGAACAGCCTGGGCAACATGATGAAACCCTGTCACGCCACTGCACTCCAGCCTGGGTGACAGAGTGAGGCCCTGTCTCAAAAAAATGCCATAGATTAGTAAAGATATTAAGTTTTCCTGTCAGCCTTGGGTTTAGGAAATTTTACATTTTATGTATCTAGTTGTACACAGGAAGAAAGGAGTCTGTGATAACCACAGTTAACTGTGAGACTGCATATTAGCAACTGTTATTTGCTGCAAAATTAGGCTAGACCAGTATTACAGAGTGTTATCAGATATTAGCTACATTTTAAAATAGATATTTAAGGTTAGAAAGGTATTTCACCTAGTTTAGTTTACTATTTTGTTTTAGTACCAAAAATATCTTCATGTGTCCATATATAGCACATTGCATGTGCTTTAAAAGGGACTTCTTGCTGTCTTATATGATACACTGGATTTCATATATATTTTTCCAGAAACCTACAAATTAAGCTCCATATAACTACCCTATTGGCATTATACTAAGAGTAGGAACATTTGCTGTTATTGGAGTTGTTTTTCTTTCTTTTTTCCCTTTTTTAAATGACAGAATCTCTGCTAAAATTTGATTCATATTGCCATTGCTTTCCTATAACACCTACACCAGCATTAAGTGAATGCTTGATAACTTAATAAAAAGTGACAAATAATTGTGTAATTTCATGTTTACTTTACAAAATACATTTGTCAATTCTTGATTAACTATGCTAGTAGAAAGGAATAATGCTATCCAAAACAGGATAATCCCAAAATAATTTAACTTGCTTTTGAGATGCATTATGGGAACCTGAGCCACAGATTTGCCTTTATAATCCTATTTTACTTAGGCCAATATTAAAATGAGTTTACATTCCCCGGGCACATTCCAAAGAACAGTGTAAGGAAGCAACTCAGAAGCTTGCTGGGTGGCAAAGGAAAGCAATTCGAGATTAAAACTCGATTGTGAACAGTCTGCAAAATGAATATTAAAGGGCTAACAGTCATACCTTAGATTTGTCTCCCATTCATTTTTATGTGATTTCATCATCAGAAAGGTAAATGGTGATGCTTTTAATAATGTGGTCTGTTTTGGATGTATTATTCCCATTTGATACTGACAGGTTATAAATACTTACCTTATTGTATATTCTTATTTTCCCAATTAATCAAAGGTCTTTTAAACAACAAGTTAATTTCACCCCTTTTAATGGGTGGTATACTCTTCAAGTAATTTTTCTCTATAAGACAGAAAATCTCAGTGGACTCTGATGAGTCAAAATATTTCCCTACTCCTCCTACCAAAATCTGGCAGGGAACATTTTTTTTTTCTCAAAAACACATGAAGTAAACTTTTCTGTTTCAAGTTATATAATGATATAAATCTGAACATTAATCTTTAATATGCTAATAACGCACAGATGACTTCAATATCCCTGGAAATTTGTAGGGCGAGCCAAGAAGGCAGTTCCTCCAGGGTATTTCAGACCTCTTTATATGAATCGTAAATATGCCTCTACTACATTTTGAAGTCCGAAAGAGCAGTATTTCCTCTGCTCAGAGAAAAGTGAATCTATAACAATATATTGTTATTCTCTCATTCTCTTTTCCCCTTTTGCAACCTTATTCTCTTAGTTATCTTTTCAACTCCAATTTTCCTAGAGCTCAAAAATGGTTTTCAAGGGTTTTTGCAAATTTCTCACTCTGTTCATTAGACAACATGCTATCCCTGCATCCCTGCAATCAACTGGAGCTCACATAAGCAGGGGCAAGCAAGTAAAGCACCAAAAAAAAAAAAAAAAAAAAAAAAGATAAATTGAAGCATACATGCCAAAGATGAATGTATAATAATGCAATTATATTACTTAGCTTAGCATTGTCTCTGGAGTATACGTAGGTGTTTGTTTGTTTGTTTGTTTTTCCTCAATAAGAACAGATCATCATACTTTTCTGTGCCCTGTGATTGTAGTGGAGGATGATTCTCTAGGACTTGATAAAATTAAGTGCTATTTATTGCTCAAGGCTAAAAATTACTAATCATCGCAGCTAGTCTTCACAACAACAATTATATCAGACTCCTTCATAGATCAGATGATGAAACACCTTTGTTCCCACAATGGCAATAGTTTTGAGACAGAATGGTCAAAAGAATCTGTAAGGGAAATGTATGACACTTGTAAACCCCTAGCTCCTCAAAGGTCAGCTCACTCGTTTCACATCTGCACCTTGTTAGCAGGCCCTGGGCCACTTATGCATGTGCATATTCCAGTCTTGAGTATCTGGATACAAACTCTATGGAGATCAGCTACAGGATTTTCATGGTAGGTCAGCTTCTCCACTACCTCCCAACACACACATGGGACACTTCACTCTGCTGCCCAGTTACTGCCAACTTAAAGAATGCAAGTTACTAGAATTCTAATATAGGCCATTTCAAATTTACAAAACATATTTCAAGGTCACTGTTTAGTTGAAACTCAGAATAAATTATCTTATAGAAACAATGTCATAAATTAATGGTGGACAGGTTCATAGCTTTGTCTAGATATGCCTATATTTAACCTATGCAGCTCTTGAACTAACAGAGAACTATTTTGACTATACCTAGTCATCATTTCTGAGGGAAGATGTATATGAAGTTTCAGTTTGAGACTCCAGGAATATATGTCTTCCAGCCATGGCAATAGGAATTTTGTCCCCCAAACTCAACCAGCTGGAATAGTCGAAGGCAGGGTGACAGTGGAAGGGAAACTATGGTAAAAGCTGCAGCAACAATAAGGACTTCATCATGGAGGTGAGTGGGGGCACGGGACTTTAAGTGCGAGGACAAGGTTGGTATGCTTTCAAGACTGGGGGCATAACACTTTAAAAAGCAAGAGTGAAAATCACATTTGCTGGTCAGACTTTCAAGGGTCCCATAGGTACACATGTGAGCAATTTTCAAGACTGTGAGATAGAAACTTCACTGATATTCTTTCTAAGTTTCAAGTCTATAAGTAGGAAATTATTAATCATAGAGAGAAAAATTATATAAATTGTCAAAACTAGCTAAAGTGACTACAATTTACAGGGAATTCGATATTTGGTAAATCCAGAAGGTGTGGCTAGCATCAAACATATTGTGATCAATCCAACCATGAAAATAGCTTTAAACATCAGCCCAGCTGCTTCTGTGCCAAGTGACAGTAGGGCAGGCAGCATAGCCTTGGATCTGTGCAACAAGGATCCCCACAAGGAAGGTTGCCTCTGCAAGCTAAGTGCAAGAAGCCTGTGTACTGGGAGTGATCAACATCTGGAGAAGTAAGCCCTCTATGGGCCCTGCAGGACTCCCACAGTGGCCCTCTCCTTTTCAGCCAGCGAAAGAACAGGAAAGGGCATGTTTGCCCGAATTTAAGGGCACAAGTTTGGCAAAGGGCATATGAGGGTAAGACTCACAGAACACAACCAATGTAACCCTAACCAATAAGAAAGAGGTATCAGGAAGCTAAGAGAAAATAGCAGTAACTTTCTCATTCACTTAATAAGTATTTGAGTACATGTTTTCCATTCTAAAAAGAATTAATTATTCAGCCAGAAGTTGAAAGGTACCCTCTAAAAATGCAAATCTAAAATAGTATATAATTTACACTAGAAAAATCTTTAAACATTCCTATTTCTCAAGGGTTGAATCTACTTTTCCAAAATAAGGTGGAAATGTGAGACCTGTAGCTACATTACCAATAATCAATGCAGAATTGCTAGAGAATATATTTTAAGTTCATATGGCAAGCACATTTTTCTTGGCAATTTTATCAATAGCTTTAAAATCAGCAATGTAATGGTTATGGCAAAAACTCAGCGCATTGTGATGTATTTATTTCATTATTATAAAAAGCAGTGTTTTAAATTTCTCATTTCTCATTCAAGACCAAGCAACATTTTCTAGTAAACGATCCTCACTATCTAAGAGTCTGGCAGCACCTCTTAGAGAAAATATACTGAAGGTTTTAATTAAGCATTTTACAAAAGCTATTTTCCAATACTGCCAATAAAACGTCTGGGCTATTTTTACATAATCTTAAAGCCTTAAAAAAGGTGCTAAACCAAAATGAACTTAATTGTAAACAGGGATTTTATGTCCCAAGGAGAGAGTTTGATTTTCAAGGCTTCTAAAATCTACTTGCCTGACTGCCAAAAGCAAGTTTACTTTTTAAACAAATGAAGAACGTCTATTGCTACACTGCTTATTCTTCCACCTATCTTACTTTATCCTGTTTTGCCTACTGTGCTGGTTTAGATTAGAATACCAAACTTTATAATGAAGGAAGAAATTAAATGAAAAGACTTTTTGCTATAACTTCCAAATGTCAGTGAATTATTAGGAAAATCAAAGAAATCTAACTTCTAAAGAAATGACCATTAATGGAAATTTACTGAATGCACTCTCAATTTACTTTCTTTCCTTTCAATGTTTCTGTGGGATCTAAATAGATACACATACTATTTGTGTTTGGGCAGTAAAGATTAACCAACTCCTCCCCAGATCAGATTTAAAACATTCAATTCCAGCACAAGTCAAATTCTTTTATTCTAAAAGCCAGGGCAAACAGTTCAATGTAATAAAATTACCCAAGTCCTGGAAGGTAGTCCACGGTTATAATGCTCTGAATGAATTACTTTCAACAAAATTTGCTACTATCAAGTGAAAGCAAACTTGTAATTTTTTTCCTCACCATTACCCATGTAATAATCTGTCACCAATGGGAAAATAACAGACTACACACCTGATTAAAGGGAAGTGTCATGTGTTGGGTGGAGCACTGGACTTAAAATCAGATGTATGAGTTAGATTTTCAGCTCTGCCACTTACCTTTTTGATCTCAGGAAAATTCTCAATATGGGTTTCATTTCCAGTACTTACCGTCCATCAGTAAAATAATGAATGTGAATGTGCTTTGCAAACTATAAGGCAATCTGCAACTGGAAAGCATTTCCTCAATCAACAATTTGACAATTTAACAATAAACTCTTTTAAATCACATAAACTATCCTTAGTTCTACCTACACTCGTCAGCCACATCTATTCCCACAGAAAAAATTTTTTTTTGTCACTCTGAGAAGCCTAAGTTTGTTCCCAAAACAGGGGATTAGGGAGAGAAAAAGAAAGTAAGAGATCTTGTTTGAATTTTTATACATGTATGATATTCTGGTGTGCTTAATTAAAGTTCTGGTGCTTGTTTAAAGTAGGTATTTTGCTAGTAGTTGAAATTTTTACCCTGAAAACATCACTCTTAGAATGAATGCAAATGAATAATGATTGTGAACAACTTTAGTTAACTTTAATTAAATGAGGTCCTCTTTAATTGTTACAGGTCAAATACCTCATTAGTCCAAACACTGTCCAATTTTGAGGGGTTGAATATTACCTAAAATAAGTGATCCATCAATGGTAGCCGGGAAATTTCTGCTATATGGAAATTTTATTATAATAAATTATAATTAAGTTCAATGGAATAAAAACAATGTGCTCTTAGTGCCTATAACTGATAGCAACAAGTTTGGCAGTAGTACACTCAAAAAAAGCATAAGATTGCTTCATGGTGATAACAGTGTTTAACACTCAAAAATTAATTAATTACTAAAGTTTTTTTGTTTTTGCTTTTTAATACCAAGTGCCCATCATAACATTACTAACTTGGCTGACCGATCCTCTCACCTCTCCTAGAGCTGCCCTTTTATATCCTCCCAACTCTTGAATAACAAACCGGGAAAATGTTCACCTCAAGTCATTTTGAACTATGAATTCTCTATCAGGTAAGGTAGAAAAAGAAGCAAATAGTCATACATAGGTTAACAGTCAAACTAAACTACATAAGAAACAACATTCTTCTCCTAAATGCTAATGCCTATGACCTATGTGTTTAAAATGTGAAGACTTCATCTTCAATAAATGATTAAAAAGTATTTCATTTATTAATACAGTCATGTCTAAGGTCATACTTCTGGGTGTTTCTTTCTAATCGACTTAAGTAAATTCCCTTAAGGCATTTACTTATATGCAATGTGACTGTAGGTAAATGGAATTAATATACTAAATTTGTGTTACATGAGAACAGCTGTCTCACAGATTTATAATCTCACTTAAATGGTAATCTATAAAGATCCTAACTCTGAACAATAATGTAAAGTATTTTAAATGCAAGTAAAGACTAACTGAAAAGTGAGATTTTCAGATGGAGAATCTTAATTTAGGTTTGTTTTTCTAAACGTAATAATAACAGTAGCAACAATAACAATGGCAATAGCTGTAAAATAATTCATGTATAGTACTTACTGTATGCCAGGCACTATTCTAAGCACTTGCCATCAATTAAAATGACCTTTTGAAATACATAACTTCTAACAAAGACGGTATTTGTTCCTCTGTCAAAGCGTTATGTTTTTGTTTCCTAACACGATTGTTTTTGTTTTAATGTTAGATAGGAAAATAGAGATCAGAAATGAGTGAAAATTATTCTACAGCTTTATGATTTAAAAAAAGGATCAGAATCATTCAGCTTGTTCTTAACACTTCACAGACAACATTCTACCATACAATTTACATTAAAATGGTAACCAAAGTCATTTCCTACAATGGTTTGTTTCACCACCATCAACACCACTACCACCACCACCACCACCACCCCCCAACCCCCACCATTCCTTTCATGTATTTCAGCAAATTATGTGCAGGAATCACTCTCAAGACTAATTATTTTGCAAGAAACTAAATCAGTTTAAACTGCCGAAATTTCACTTCAGTATTAACCCAATGACACTAAAAATATCTTACATTTGTAAAGTGCTTTAACATTCCAAAGTGCTTCCATGTTGATTCTCTTATTTCAACCTAAGTACCTGCCTCCCTGTGAGATAGAACTTCCTTGCTGTAGTCACTCAATAAAGCTAGGAATTTCCTCAATAAACAATGCATTTACAGAACGTTAAATCCCCAAAATAGCTACAAAGTCATAAATCAGTAATTTATGCTAAAATAATGATCATTGTGTCTAGGTATTCCTTGGAAGTCAGAATTTATTTGAGGAACAGTAAGATTTCACTATTTTAAATCCTAAACTTCTTAGACCTCTATGAAAACTGGTCCTTTTGAAAGTACTACAGGGACACAGGCAACTATGTATCATCTACATCAAAATTATAAATGGTGTCTTCAATAGTTAGACTCGAACAATAGCTTGAGATCAATTTTCAGGTATATTCTGCAGAATAAAGTAGATCTATTCTTGAAAATCTTATTATGGATTAAAGTCTTGGAAACGAAATTATATATTTTAAATGTACAATTATGGTAGCAGTGGTGATCATGTGTGTTTGTGTGTGTGTGTATGTGTGTGTGTTGGGGAGGGAACTCACAGTTTAAAAGAGGTCTGAATTGAATCTTTTGGCAAGCCAAAGCATCCTTTTGTTGTTTTAATGATCACTCTTTAATGTGTCCCTGCTGCAAATGTGAGTTTTTGTATGGCAAGTTTTCTATAGCAAGGAGAGAAAGGGGATGTGGGGGGGCTACACCTGCATTAAATAGGGAGCTTGTTAGGTGACTGTTGTGATCAGTCCCCGACTTGTTCTGCCTGATCAAGCACAGTGGGCAGAGATCCAATCACAAAAGCATTCCACAAAGCAAGCAAAGCAAAAATCTTCACTAAACTGACTACTGGAATGAAAACTGCCGGGGTCCATCCCTTCCCTTCACTGGGAAAGAAGCATATTCTACTAAAGAGGGAAGGCAATTGAGACTATGGAGACATCATCTTCTGTAATCATCTCTTGAAAATGTTTCAAGACACACTGATGACAACACTGCACAATATTGTACACAGTAAAATTACTCTAAGTCTTGTTTCCAAGTCTGACAGCTCCTACTCTTTCTTACTTCTTACTTTGGAAAAGTAGCCCTTTAAAAACTTCCACCATTCCAGAGTAAGCTGCCCCTGGAGTCAGGTCTTCCTCCAGCCTTATCTTGCTTTCCTTGATTTCCCATAAGATATATGAATTAAAAGTTTTAACTGCTTTTTAAGCCTTTGAAATAATATTCATATCCTTTATCAAGTTGTCACCACATCCTCTTTTGGAAGGGTGGGGGGTTAAAAGAAGAAAATGAGGCACAGCAAATGTGACTTGCCTGTCATTACTAGTGACAGAGAAAAGGAACACTCAAGGTTTCTGGAATTTATCCTGTGTAAAAACAAAAAGAAAATCAACACACAAACATATTCCAGAGCCAAATACTGTCTTCTTTTAATCACCTCTTGGTGTGGATTGTTTATGTTTTGTTCTCCCCAGACATTCACGTTAACAATTGAGATTTAACTTTCTTGGTAAATCACAACAAACTAGCATAACAATGACTGCTCTTTAAAAAGTAACTTTCGGAGGAGAAAAATATCCTCCCCAAACACAAATAGTTGATTGTTACTGCTTAATAGTCTGTGCTCTTATTAAATTCCCACACTTAAATATGGGCATTTGCAGAAGAGCAACTTTTAATTGTTGATTTGAAAATTAGTTGGTGGAACCCAATTTAGGACACCTGCTTTACATTATCATTAAATGATGAGGAAGGATGTTTCAAAGTATCCTTATGTTATATGTCTGCGTTTTAACTACTCCTAAAAAAGTAGAACCAATGTTTAAATGATAATCAGTTCTGTCCAGATAAAGAAATTGATTAGATAAAAACAAATTTTTGCAAAGATCAAAAAGGCATTGCGTGAATAATTAAAACTGAATTCTATCCTCCATGTCGAATAGCACCAGTTAATGAAATATTATCCCTAACACTGTAGACTGTAGCACATCGAATCATTAGACAATGACCATTCTCTTTAGGGAAATTAATTCTAAAATTACCGACCTCTTTTGGGAGAGTCGAACTGGTTATCAGGTCTGGTAAAATCCATTCTCACGTAAGTGTCGTCGTCGTCGTCAGAATCTTCTCTCTCCGGGGGTCTTGGCACCCGGCGACTGCGAGGTGGTGGTTCGGGAGCGGCAGCTGCAGCGGCAGCCCCGCCAGCCTGGTTCTCACCTCTGGCAAGGTTTGAAGATGGGTCGTGGGCTCCGGGGTTCGAGCCACCGGCAACGTCTTGGGCTCCCCTTACTGCTTCGCTATCAGCAGCATTAGCAACAGGTTGAAACCAGCGGGCAGAGGCGGAGTCAAATCCAGCAGCGGCGGCTGCTGCGCCAATGCCCGGGGCTGCGGCGAGCGCGGAGGCCGCAGCTACAACTTGGCTGACCGCTAAAGTCGGCTCTGCAGCCGAAGTAACAGCCGGGGCTGAGGATGGGGAAAGGTCTCTCTCGAGGCTGTCTGTTGGAAAAGCAGAGACAGCGGCTCTGGCTGCTGCAAAGAAACTTTGAGAACGACTTTGTGGGCGTCTTCTCTCCTGCTCTTCCTCCTGCAGCAGCCTAGCTACAGGTGGTGGTTCAGAACATCGGCTGGGGGAGAGAGAAATATCCATACAGCACTCAGAAAATGGGTCGACCACATAGATTCGACCTGTTTCAGCATCGTAGCGAATGGCACTGTCAGCAAGAGGCATGACTGGTGTCATTGCTGAGTTGAAAATTACTTCAATGTAGTCACCCTCTTCCTCATTAGCATTGCTACCTGTAGCACTCAGGGGAAGGGGAGGAAGTGGCCACCTAGCACTGTCCAGAGATAAGGGGTTGGCACGTGGTATAGCTCTGAAAAGATCGGAGAAGTCGTTTGCTGGATTTGGAAATAGTACTCCAAACTCAACATTCACATAATTAGAAAAGGCTGACTGTCTGGGGTCAGCAATTATGCCCCACGAACCTGGTAGTCCTTGAGTAGAGGGAGCTGGTGTATTGCTCTCTCTTTTAGCGAAGTCGATGTTGACGTAGTTACGAGAGCTGTCAGCTTCTCTCTGTTCACGTGTGGGCTTTTGTGGTTTTGGCTTGATTTTATATCCTTTTGTAATAAAAGAAAGTCGGTTAGGTCTCTTAGCCTTATTCTTTAGGGACCCACCATCCCAAGGCTTTGAAGGTGATCCCCCATCTCCAGGCTTTGAGAATGATCCCTCACCTGAAGGCTTTGAAGCTGCATCTTTGGGACCCCAGTTATAGGAGACTTCTTTGTCTAGGCCCCTCCCCAGGAACTTTCCAGGTAACATTGGCACATACTCACTGTTGTCACTCTGTCCCAAAGGTGAGCTCTGAAAAGGGTTTGGTAGAGAGAAGTAGGAGCTCCAACTTTTGGAGGAAGAGCCACCCTGAGGATTTCTGGGGTTTTTTGGAATTGCACCGGCTCCAGGAGCCATAAACATGTAGTCACTCTCACTGTCATTGTCCTTTGAGTCATCCTCTTTATTAGTATCAGGTGCTTTTGGAGGACTGGGAGCAGGCGGTGGGCTCACTCTGGGAAACATCATCATGTACCCTCTTGAATCTTCAAAAGGGGATCCAGAGTGGCGCTTTTTTGAAGCAGAGACATTTTGAGGAGCCATTGGCATATAATCACTGGAGCTTACAAGAGGGGCAGCCACCCCTGGCCTCATTGGCACGTATGGGTCATCCTCATCTTCATCAAAAGCTCTGGCTCTGTGGGGACCTCGAGCTGCACCTTCTGGGATCTCTGCATCTTTCACTTCTTTGGCTTCTTTGCGCTCTTTTGTGGCTCCTCTGTCAGCACAAAAATAAAGTCGGAATCTTCCCCCAGACTTCCCTTTTCCACCAGTTGCTCCAGCTGGTGGGGGCGGAGGAGGTGGTGGAGGTGGTGGCATTTGCTGTTGCTTGCTTTGAGTTAATTTGCCAAAATAGGATCTTTTCTTCAGAGATTTTCCACGTTCACCATCAGCATCGGATCCTTTCCCACTTCCTGAGCCTTTGCCCCCTCCAGAGTTCTTGCCACCACCTGAGCCATGCCCACCTCCAGGTCTCTGGCCACCACCTGAACCTTGCCCACCTGCGGTCCCGTGGCCATCTCCAGAGCACTGGTTTCCTCCTGAGCCCTGGCCATTTGAGCCCTGGCCACCACTTGAGCCCTGACCACCTCGGGATCCCTGTCCCTCGCCTGAGCACTGGTTTCCTCCCGAGCTATGGCTACTGGAGCCTTGACCACTTGAGCCCTGGCCACCTCCTGAGCCCCGGCCATTTCCTGAGCCCCAATTGTTCATGGGCATGTAGTCGCCTCCGCTTCCTTCCTGATCTTCTTTGCCCTGGGGATTGCCTTCCTCCCCAGAGTTGCCAGAGCCAGAGCCAGACACTTCAGAAGACAGGCAAGCTCCATTGTTCGGGGCTTCTGCAGGGTGCGGGGGACGTGCTGGGCTGGGTGCTAAGCGGTGAAAAAAGCTGGCCGGCACTGAACTCGCTCTCCTTGACCTGCGCCCTCTGGGCAGGTGCAGTCTTCCTCGCCTGGAGTGGGGCACAGGCTCGCTGGGTGTTATGAAACGCCTGGTGAAAAGCATCTCGTCTTCCCCGTCGCCGATGGCCCTGAGGTGGCAAAACTGCTCAAAGCGGGACCTTCTGAGCCAGCCTCCCGGCTCGAGCGGCAGCAAGCCCAGGTGCCTCCTAGCGGACAGCAGGGTTAACAGGTGGGCGCCGATGCTGATGCTGTAGCTGCGGCAGCGGGCTCTGTATTCGTCTGCACACAAGGCTCTCATCTTCTCCAAAAACAGCTCATGCATGTTTTGGGCAACCACACAGTCATCGACCTGCATCCAGAGCTCTCCCGGACCGATGACGGTGGACCTGCCTACTTCCAAGAAGAAATACTGCTCCGAGTGTCCACAGCGACGGATGCTCAGGAGCTGGACGACCACGCTGGCCACTTCGGTGTTCAGCCTCACAAACACAACCTCCTCGTCGGTTAGACACAGCCGGAACACGCCGCTCAGCTCTTTTCTGTGCCCCAGCCCCCTGGGTTTGACTATTACCTGCCACACATCTTTATAGAAGGGTGGCTCCGCCGCCGCTGCCGCCGCCAGCGCGGCCGGCTCTCCGTCCGGCTGCGCGCCGAGCGTGCCGCAGCGGCGGCGCTTGCTCTCGAGGATGAGGCGGCTGAGTAGCAAGTACCAGCTTTCCTGCTCCGACTCGTTCTCGGCCACCATCGCGAAGTACTCGTCCTGGGTGAAAAGGGCAATGAGGTGTCGGTACCTTGCATCTGCTCGCTGGCTCACGGAAAAGCACTGGTATAGGGTGATCACGCGCCGCGGTGGAATGAGCCGGGGGATCGCGGCGCCAGAGGCGGCCGCCGCTGCTGCAGCCGCCGCGGCGCGGACACTGTGCCGGAACTTCCTGGCATTTTCGTAGTATTCCAGGCGAGCTGGGGCGTCAGCAGTCTCGAGTTTGAGCACGAAGTAGCGCCTGTGCCCATGCTTCTGTTTCCGCAGGTAGCCGCGTTTGCAGACTTCCTCCCCGACGGGGAGGTCCTCCTCCTCGGACTCGGAGTCTGACCGGGAGCCAGTGGCCGTGGAGAGCCACATGGCTCCCGGACAAGACGACCCGGTCCCAATGAGTGCGGTCGGAGTTCCCGAGGAAAGAAGCGGGGTGGTCACCACTGCTCTTAGAGCTGCCGCTGCTGCCGCTGCTGCACCTCTTAGTCTTCTTGTCGCTTGGTCGCGAGTGAAGGAGCAACTCGCCATGGTGATGCACGATGGTTTTAAGGTGAGCGAGGAGGAGGGGGAATTCAGGAAAGGGAGGGTTGGGGGAAGAGGCTGTCTACCCCCGTCTGCCCGCCCCAGCCCCCTCCTGCCTTGGCCCGCGCCCCCGCCCACTCCACTCTAAGCGCACGACAGCGGGCAAAACAACACGTGACCGAAGCCTCACGCGGCGGCCGCTGCGGATCCTGCTACCGGCGCAATGGAGGGGCGCGAGCGGCCACCAGTAGAGGTGTGCAAGGGAGGAGGCGGCGGGCTTGGGAGGCGGAGCCACCTCCAGCTGTGCCAACACCCTCCCGGTGAATCTCCAGGCCTGTGGGCCAAGGGAGGACTAAGAGGAGGAGGCGGGGCTCTCTGGCCAAGCAGATTCTAACCGGGAGTCCAGGAAGGCATGAGGGGGCGGGAGAAGGCCTGGAGGGGCAGAGGAGAAAGCGGCCGGCTATCAGGGCTGGGAGAGGGCGCCACAGTCGGGGCCCCATTGGTGGGAGGTGGTGGTGGTGGCGGGGGGGCGCGGAGCGCAAGCAGTGCCGGCGGCGCCGGGGTGCAGAGCCCGCACAGTCGCCGGACGGTTTGTTTGTTTATTTGGGAAGCGGGAGCCAGGTGAAACTGTTGCAAGGCTCTGATTGGCTGGAATAGGAGCCAATGGGAGGGTCCGGCAAGAAGGCAGTCCCGAATTCATTAGTTTGGCGGGAGGGAGGGGTGAGAGGGGAGAGGGGGCGTGGCTGGGGTCCCAAAGTGGCTTCGCTGTCGGCTTGTGGCGCTCTCAGGCGGTAAACAATCTTACGCAAATAGCTGTTAATGGTGGTGGTAAACTCGTGCAAATCCCAGAGCCGTGGTGACCCGGGACGGAGTCGGGTGCCCTGGTATTCCCTGTCAATCACATAAATTCTCTGTTCCTGTCACAGTCTGGTTTATTCTTTCCAGTCGCTCACGGCGGCTGGTCGAGCTTCTTGGGAAAAAGTGTCGGCACCCCTTGAAAGCGGGTTGATGACCGGGGCGCTCGGACCCGCTTCCTACCGCGCTGCAGGCACTCCCGAGCCCGCTCCACCCCTGACGAAGCCCGCGACTCTAAGGCACACGAATAACCACGATGAATTCAAAATGAACATGATCTTTATTAATCAGAATGCACTTCTAGCCCACGAAACACAGGTTCCCTAAATACAGTGTTTCTGCCTATTTGATTAACGATGACTACGAAAGCACAAATTTGGGGGCCTGCAATGTATACAGCCATATTGGAAAAGATGGGACTCGATTCTTACTGAAATAACCAGTGTTGGGCTGTGAGGTATTTTTCTGTGGGAAATGCTTTGGAAGGTGCCTTTAAAAGAATCTCAAAATATTGCTTTCCTTTCCTTGAGCGAGACCGAAAAACTTTAGAAAAAGAAAAGCTCATACCTAGAACAAAGGACCACGCTGAATGCATATTCTAGAGCGCATTTCACATCCCTCGCGTCAACAAGAAGAAGGTGAGGAGCTTTGATGCATTTCAGTCTACAAGTTGACATCACAAAAGTAAGAACTGCTGCCTCCCTAATTTCTGGAAAAACTGCCAGAGTGTAAGTGCAACCTCCTGAAGTCTCTCTCTCTCTCTGGCTCGCTCTCTCTGTCTCTCTCTCTCTCTGTCTGTCTGTCTCTCTCTCTCTCTCTCCCCCCTCCCTCTCCCTCTCTCCCTCACCACCCCAGTTATTTCTTGACTAGGATTTTAGACTCCTCTCCCTCTCTCCCCCACCACCCCAGTTATTCCTTGACTAGGATTTCAGACTCTTAATGGTGGAGATGGGTCGTGAATTATCAAAGGAGTGACCACGTTTGCAAAGAGGAATGGAGGGACAGGAGGAAATAACAGCATTTCTCTCTGAAAGAATGGAATGACAGTTCACCCTTGCTCTAGGGTTGATACGGCAAAGGGTACTATTTATAAAATCCCACAGTAAACTAGGCAATGCGTATATCATAAAAATAAACCGTATCTCTGCCCTCTTAAGAATTTGCTCTCTGTTAGAAACAGAACACACGTATTTGAATAAATGGCTCCTTTTTGATGCTATAATTTAAGAGAAAGAAAAATTGGTTTTGGTTGTCCCCCAGATATCACAAACATTCAATAACATTCCCTCTGCTGCGAATGGTTTATAAGTGCAATATATTCACAGGTGCCGGAAGCAGCCGTGGTTTCGGAAGGGAGCTAGAGGCAGAACCAGAGTGGATGCTGAGAGCCCTGTCTGTGACTGTTACATATTTCAGCTGCGTAGTCACATACATACAAGATTCCCTGCACTTATAACCAAAATGATAACAAATGCTCTCATTTGGGATTTTGTTTGATAGTCATTAGGATATTTTATAAGTCTTTCCAAGCACAAGGTTCTTCTCTTTTTTTTTAAAGAGAAATGTGACAAATAAGGCAACACATTTGAAAGTGCTTTGAGTAATAACATGACATTGAAAATATCAAAATGAATATCAAAACAAATGGGAAAATACTGGAGATTTTTTAATCCTCGTGTCCTTTTTCCTGTACATATAGAGTTTTTACAAAGAGCAGTAGGCTTACAATTCATATAATTTTGCATCCTGTTCTTTTCACTTAACATTATACAATATTTTCCCATATTATTATGCATCAGCCTAAATATCATTTAAAAGCAACATATTATCCAACACAATTAATGTATATTAATGTAATTAATCATCTACTTTGGGGCATTTGTTTTCATTTATTTCAGTATTATAAATAACGTGTCAATGAATATCTTGTATCTACAGCCTTTTAAAATTCCCATTGGGTAAAAACCGAGCACTGGAATTAGTAGGCTAAAAGATATGAATATTTAATACATTATTTTTCAAAAATATTATATTAGTTTACACTGTCACCAGACTGATTGTCACTTTGGACATTCTTATTTTTAAAAAATCAGAGATAAGCTGGGTGAAATGGTATTCCACTATTCTTTTTTTTTTTTTTTTTTTGAGATGGAGTCTTATCCTATCACCCAGGCTGAAGTGCAATGGCGTGATCTCAGCTCACTGCAACTTCGGCCTCCTGGGTTCAAGCAATTCTCCTGCCTCAGCCTCCCAAGTAGCTGGGATTACAGGTGCCCGCCACTATGCTCAGCTACTTTTTGTATTTTTAGTAGTGAAGGGTTTTCACCATGTTGGCCAGACTGGTCTCGAACTCCTGACCTCGTGATCCACCTGCCTCAGCCTCCCAAAGTGCTGGGATTACAGGCCTGAGCCACCACGCCCGGCCTGCACTATTCTTTCAATGTGCATTTTTTTTTTTTTTTTTTACTAGTGAGATGAAACATTTATATATATTTACTGACATTGTATTATTTCCTATAATGTGTCCTTTGTGTTGTCTATTGTATTCTTAGTATTTTCTTCTTATGTTTAACTTGTTTACATAATAAATACATTAAAACTCTGTGGTATTTGTTGCAAGTTTTTTTTTTCCTACTCTGTTGACTTTAAAAATCACATTTAACCTGATTCTCTTCTGTTTTGAAAGATATGTAAATTTGGCACAATGTGGTTTGTAGCACAGTTTGAAAGGGAGCTGTTGATACAAATGTCACCATGGTCACTTTTAAACTTCTTTTAAAAGATCTCATATATTTCAGCTTATATGCTCTTTTAAAAGGAGAAATGTTTCTTCTGGTCAACAAATTATAAGAGAGCATCTAAACTAGTTAAATTTTATTTATCACTCTGAAATAATACTTTATGAGACATTTTCTATTTTAAGGGGAAATATCTAGCATTAATCAATGTGTTAAAAAAAAAGAAGTGTGAAAATAATTTCTAAACTATTACAGTGAAAGATGAACAGTGCTGATCATTTTGTACCAAGGGTATATTATTTGGCTGCAGCAAAGTGGAATTAGAGCTATAGTGAGATGCTTCACAGAGGAATTTTACTTGTATATTTCCTACAGTGGAAGATAATCTGGCAAGCATGAGTACTTGTAAACAGGGAGAATGTCTGACTAGAACATTATTTTCTTCCTATAGGTCAACCAAGCCTTCTCAGTCCTAATGTTATCTCAACACTGAAGCTCTGTAGAGCAGACCAGCATTACTGAATTGTACCAGATGCTAGAGCTTGTCGGACATATATTTAAATTTTCATTTTCCTGGACAACTTAATGATATAGAATAGTCATTTAGTTTAGGTCAGATTCTCATAGGCAAAGTAAAACAGATATCTAGATGGTTTAGGCAAAATATAGAGAATTTTTATTTGGCTTGAACTCACCAGATGGTGGCTTTAATGCTCTAGCCTCTTTTGGTTATAGATTCCTGTCTCTTATTTATTTATTTATTTATTTTGGTTTTTGTTTTTATTGTAGGACAGTTTATCCCAGAAGGCTAAAGTTGCCTTGCATATTCATTTATTACAACTGTAAAGTTTGGAATCTGCACAAAGAGTCTGAAATACAGATTTTTAAAACAACAGATAATAAATAATAAGACTTAAAAAATAGCTCTTGTTTCAGTTTGCCAATTCAACTCAAGGGATAAAAAACAGAAGCATTGTAACTGGCATTTTACGCCTATAAACTAATGTAAATGGATAAATAGCCACAATATCTTTAACACCGATTCCAACTAATGAAGAAATATATGCCTTTAATGATGTGTGCTTTTAAAAGGAATTTCCTGTGAATCCTGTTTTAAGAAAGCAGTTGTTTGAATTGACTTGTCAGTGATAACAAAAAATTCATCTGCTTCTTTTCTTACATACATGATCATGAATGTTCTAAACTCAACTTGTACTAAAAATGGGTAATTGAAGTGTGGATTTATTTAGTTTAAAAATTAAGCTGTTGTATTAAATATGGATTACATTATTGAAGAGAATAAAACCTAAGAGGAAAAGTAACCAGTATAAAAGAACTATTATTCTTGCCCCATGTATAAATTATCTTGTAAGTGTTAACTCTATAAGCTTCATGAGCTAACGTCCAATTATGTTGATAAAAATGTGGTGCTACCCTTGATATTAAAAAATCATGTTAGTGATGACGATTGCTTCTCTGTGTTGGGACATAAATCACGTAGAGTGAAAGATGCTTTCTACACTATGAGGAATAAGGGCTGCCCTGTGATTTGTGGCTGCAGCCACTGTTTGCAGATGATGGCTTTGCTTCTCAGCTTCTTTACTTCTGTGCTCCTCAAAACCTCTGCTGGAGAAAACAAGCATCAAATGCCTGACTGCTGCACACAGAACAGGTCTGTTTGCTGCCTTTGTTTCCTAGCAGTCTCCAGCGAAAGTAATTAGAGCAAATACGTGGTTTAATTAGGCTCCTAAAGCTTTCCTGTTATCTTAAGAGTCAACTTAAAATTAACTTAGTTAAAAATCAAGCATTTCTTCCCATCTTCAAAAGATAAAAATTTCATTTGGAAATAACTTTTACTAAGTAAGATAAACACCAGAACAATGAAGTCTGCTAGGTTTCACATAAATTTCAATGATTTAACATCATATATGTTCTCTATGCTAATATAAATCAACAATAGAAAATTTAGCTTAATACTATGTTCTTCCTTATTAATATCATATAGCAGCATTTTTCTTAGTGTGAAAAGCCTATCAATTCATACTGCCTTGTCTTCAAAAGTTAGAATCTTTATTTTTTAAATTAAATAGGATAATTGCATAGTTAAATATATTATTTTAAAGGAGTTAGTATCATAGACTTATATTTTTCTTTGGATATTTAGAAAGCCAGCTGTCATATTTAGGATAATATATATTATGTTTCTTGTTGATTCCCCTCTCTCCACTCCTCACATGGTCCTGCCATGTCTGTCAGATTGAACCCTTTGTTTCACTTTCATAGTCACCATCCTTGTCCATGCCATAATTAACTCTACCAGAATTGCCAAAGTAACTTCTTAAACTGGCTTTAGCATTCTTCAGTCTCTTTTTCATATAGCCAGCAGAATATTTCCTTTCATATGTTCCTTTCATCATACAACTCCCTGCTCAAGGACATACAGAAGCCCCCTCCCCCTTTTTCTGCTATATCAGAAATAAATAACGAACCCTAGTATGTTTCGCTGTTCTCCACTGACACCACAACCAACCTCTTTTTCTCTCTTGCTGTATACAATCTTTTCTTCCAAATTTGCCTCCCATTCTACTACAATACATTCTTGCTGCTCACACCTCCATATAGGTTGGTTTCTTAATGGCATGCTGTATATGATTTATCAATTTCCACCTTTATTTAAGCTGTTTCCCTCTTTTTCCTCATCACCAATTGATGCCAATCATCTTTCTCAAGACTAAGATCAAGACCCAGAAAAAGGTTTCCTCCATCACATAATCCCACAGACAATCTCTTTAAGCACTGGATGTAGGTGGAGCTAAGGATTTAGTTGGTATTCATCCATACAGGCATATCATTGTTAAATGATAGTCATTGGTAAAATAACGAATACTTTTCTACCACTTAGTAAATAGCTACTGCCCTGAAACTACTCCCTGCTGAGTAGTCTTGCCCACCCATTGTCCTGGCTACTAGGGCACCTCCGTTAGGACCTTCTACCTCTCCACTATCCAGCAACTACAAGGTTAACTACTGGCACATTAAGGGGCTTCCAGGATTCCACACTCAAATTTTGACTGACATACATTCTCATTGGTTGGCTTGTGCTACACAGGTTGTTAAATAGTTAAAATTACCACGCCTGGTTATAACTAATCCCAGAGTTGAGAACACGATTCTAGGCTATATGCTCCTCGAGGACCAGGAATTAATGCTTGGTATAACAGTCTGGCAATTATCAGTACATGTTTGCTTCAAGGAAGGAAGGAAGGAGAGAAGAAGAGTGGGAGGGAGGGAAGTGGGAAGGGAAGGAAAGGGGATTAAAGGAAGGAAAGGAAAGAAGGAAGAAGGAAAGGAGGGAGGGACAAAGGAGAAGAGAGGGACAAAGGAGAAGGGAAAGAGAAGAACAACGATGTTCAAGACTGGTCTCAAACGTCAATGCAGACTACCTCCTCCTCCAAATCACTTGCAAGCATGCCAAAGCTCTCCATGACTGATGGCAAGACTTGGTGACTTTTGCCCAACTTAACATCTCTTCCCCTTCAAAAATATCATGCCCATTGTTTTCCTCATCTATCACAGGTCAGCAAATCTTTTTCTCACACATATTTCTTTCCCATCTTGCAGTGGTTGTCAGAAACCGCAAGAAATGTCTGTACCCATAGATTTCCCTCTCCTGTCTTTAGTTCCATTTAGGAACAAAGAGAAATTTTAACCTTGATCATGTAAGGTTATAAGTATAAACTTAATATTGGTCTTAGGGTAATGGTAATGATAAACCTCCATTAAGGAAAAGCACTTAGCAGTTCCTGACACCATTTTTTTTTCTTTCTCATTTGTTCCACTAGAATATAAACTCCCTGTATTCCCATATATTCTCCAT